TTGGGACCAGAATTGCCCTGGTTACCAGCGCAGCCGTTATTGTTTCCGGGATTTGAAGGAGGTCCAGCAGGCGACTGGCCACCTGTTGTTCCGTATCCAGGGTCAGGCTTGGAGGGCCCTTGTGGAGAATTGGGAGGTTGGCTATTTGGACTTGATGGTGCTTGGTTTGGCGGACTATTAGGGGCTCCATTGTTTGTGTTTGAAGGTGATGAATCTTGTCCTGGACCTGGGCTGCTTTGGGCCTGGGGACATGGGATTCCACCAGTCCCGTCAGTGTTTTGTGACGACGGCGGGAAGCCTTGTGGGTTTCGGCTCGGCTGAGCGCCCGATTGCCCATCTGAAAATGGTGGTTGGGCAGACTGGTTTGAGTTCGAGGCGTCAGACGCGCTGGGTGATGGTGAATGGGCATCACTAACCTGGCCGTTCTGAGGCTGTTGAGCATTTTCGTCTCCCGAAGAAGTTTTGGGCCCCTTATTTGGTGATGGCGAGGAATTTCTACCAGGCTGGGAACTGTCGGGGTAGTTCCCTGATCCATTGGATGAGGGTCGATTGCCAGCAGCATTGCAATCATTCAGGTTGCCCGTACAAGTGGGATTTGAAGCATCACCATTACCTGCAGGTGAAGGACCCTGTGGTTGGCCGCTCTGAGAACCTTGGTTGGGATTCTGAGTTTGGGGTCGGCCAATAGCACCAGGGCTTGACTGCGACGGATTCGAAGTAGGTCCGGGGAGTGAGAGCGTCAAGATTCTATCCGTGCCAGCTTCACAGTTAAGAGGAACTGAAGGGCTATTTGAAGAGCCAGGTTGACCTTTTCCGTTGCCTCCAACTTCAGGTCCGTACGAACCAGGGCCTTGTACAATAGTGGTGGTAAATTGGCGAGCATATAGAGCTGGGTTCGCGAATTGGACAGGATGTAGTGGCGCGATGACTGCACCGTTTTCGAGACAAGATGTAACCACTGAGGTAAAGGCATTGCTGTAGGAATCAGAAGTGCAAGAGAGTACCAGACACTGAAATAGAGACTAAACAAGAGTGGCTCCATTAGTGTACGTTCATTCTGAATACGCACAGAGCGGGAAACTAACCTGTTGTTTGAGGTGATCTGAGCAGAGAGCTCTCCAGTCGACCGTATCGGAAGTGTTGGCGAGACGGTGGGAGCAGTCCAAAGCACAAGCTTTATCATCTTAGCAAAGAACGAAATGCGAGTACTGGGAGACTTACCATCATCAACCTGGGTACCATGAGTGTACCCGCCTGGGGCTAAGAGAAATGGTAACAACGTGTTGAAGATATTTACCCTCATTGTGTCTTCTGTGAAGTTCAATGACTTGGTACAAAGTAGGTTGGGATGATGTTTATCAAGGGAGTGAACAACAATTGCAACTAGGCAGATGAGTGTAATGGAATGTGATCCAAAAAAGGTCTTGACAATGAAGTCCCAAAAAAAGAGCCTATGGCTGAGTTAAGGGTAGTGTGTTGATGCAATGGTGATTATGGGAAGATGGAAGAAGAAGAAAAACAACAAAAGGATCTCGAGGGGAGAGATTTGGAATGGCTGCTTGCGAAGCAGGCCAGGGTCAATGGGAAGGAGGCATGTGTGTGTATTACTTGCCCTTTGCGGGTATCTAATAAAATAGTAAAGAAAGTGGCTTCTCCTCGGCTGCGTACTTCTCCTTGAACTCCTTCCTCGCTAAGAAGCGAGCAAGCGGCATCATAGTGTCCTTCATGTCCATCACGCCTCTCTTCTTTTGGTCAATATGCGACGCATCAACGACCAGGCGTTCCAAATTCTCTAGCGAGAGCGCACCTTACATGCATGTTAGTAGGCAGAATTCAAGGAACGGAAATTTGATGCATACCATTGTCAATCAAATCCGCCAGTCTCGCCGGTGTGCCAACAGCAATTCCCGTCTTCTTGCTCTTGAGGTAGGTAATCTGCTCCTCGATTTTCATGTGCTTTGCAAACTGAGACGGTGAAGAGCGACCAGGTCAGCACGGATAAAGAAAGAGGGAGTGGCTCGGAAAACTTACCAGCTTGGCGACTGCACAGTTCTTGGTTTGGAACTTACGCACAGCACTTTCCTTCTTGTCAGTAACGACCTTATCTGACAGGTTGGGTCCTCTGATGTGGAGGGCGGAAGGCAGTAGGCGAAAATTCCTCGCCAACAGGGCCGCACTTACCGCACAATGTCAGCAGCCCTCAGACCAGCTCCTGCAACAATCAGAGTGTGAGGCGATCCGGGCTTTTTAGACGAGCGACTCAGGCCTTCCTTGTCCTCTGAAAATTGCTCCAGAAAGCCTGGAAGGTTGGTCAGAATCCGCTGCTCCTGCCATGAGCTGGTGTCTGTAATGGATCCAGCTGGAGACTTTGTTAGCGATGCTCCAGAAATGGGATTTTTCTTGAAATTACCTGTGATTGAGATGTCTGAGAGTTCAACGGGACTCAATTCTGTCCCGAACCGGGTCGTTTTCTGAGCGATGTGATCTGCCAGGAGCTGGCTATCCATGCGCGAGAAGAGAGTATTGATTCCCAACTCAGAATCTAACGACTCATTATTTTCAAAATTTCCCTTTCTCTTCTTCGCCTTCTTGGCCGGAGGGTTAGCGTCCGCCGCACGTTTTTTGGTGTTCGACATCGTGAATTACAGACTGCAGAGATGTCAAACAAATCTCTGAGATGATGAAAGTAAAGTGAAATCGACCAGTACAGAAAAAAATGTTTGTTCCCTTCCGGTTAGCGCATTGCCTAATTTAGAAACCCGACGGCGCTGCTAGTATTATTTCTAATCCCTGCAAAGGGTCTCCCTCGAGGCTCTCACCGTACTAATGCTTCAAGATGAATGTTGAATGTTGAAAAGTAGATGAATTGATATCTTATAGCAAGATTTTTGTCTTTTGGATGCAAATGCCTACGGCTTGGCCTTGCGATTCCCTTTTCTACAGATCGCCAGCTCGTCTCAACATAGAGCCACTTAGATACATAGCAAATCGCCTCTTAAGTAGACTCACATGAAATATCTTAATTGCCGGCGCGCTGTGCCAAATACATCGGATACCGTCATGGAAAAGATCCAAAATCAATAAATTGGCAAACCTTCAGGTGATGAAATATTAGGTGCCTAGCAAAAGAGCGAGATGAACTCGGCAGGATAAGAATATTTTCCAAAGCCATAATGTTCTCGTATGATGCAACTCCCAAAACGCCGCTTGAAAATCAGACAAAGCCTTCAATCTAGCCAAACCGGACAACTCTAAAAGATACCGTTCACAATCTTTCCACCAATCGTGGCACCAGCACCGAAGATAGCGGCGTTACCCAGCTTCTTGCCAAACTTCTTGCCGTACTCCTGGTACTTCTCCGACTTCTCGTCCTTTTCCTGGTCGTTTCCATTGTTCCCGTCAGCAACAGCCATGGGCGGCACGTTGGCGTTGTATGGGTTCTGCTGCGAGGGAGGGCCACCCTTCTGCTGAGGATATCCGTAGGCGGGCTGCTGGGGGGCGGGAGCCTTCTCCTCGTGCTCCACGAGCACGTAGTTGCGCGGGAAGATGCCCTCGAGTCCGGTGCGCTTGTTCTGGCCCATCCACCAGTCGTCGTTCATGTACTCGTGCACGAGGATCTTATCGTCCCGCTCCAGGGCGAGATCGCGGTCGTCGGGGCCGACGTAGCGGTACAGAGCCCGGGCATGGGCAACGACGGGCTTCGCGTTGCGGACGGGAAGGCTGGGAGGAGGAGTATCCTCGTATGAAGGGGGCAGGGGCGTATGGTTGTTCTGTGGAGTAGCGCGTGCGGAACTTGCGGTGTTGATGCTGTTCGAAGAGGTCGTGCGAAGAGGTCCGGAGAGAGGCGACTCCTGGGGAAGGGCGGAGTGGATGGTATCGTAAACGGATTCGTCAATAACTCCCTTCTCCAGAAGGTTTTCGAGTTCCTGTAATCGTGAGCTGCCGGGTCATGAGATAGGGGCGACTCGAGTGTTCGTACATTCTTGATGTTGCGGAGGGACTTGTTAGCCTCCATGATGGTCTGGCGGTCGGATGCCATCTTGGCGGATATTGTCGGTATGAGATGCAGACACTGGTAGGGCTCGTTGGATGTGAACAGTCGCAGATTAGAGGAGGATGCGCTGAACGAGGAACGTGGATTGGAAATTCACCGTTAAGATGGAAACGGATTGTGAGGAGGCAATGCCAGGGTGCGTCTGATGGCGGGGCGCAGCAAGTGTCGTCCCACTCTTGTGCATGACCCGCGACAAACAGTGGGGCGGTGTGGCACTGCCGACGATGTGGCATTTAGGGAAGTTCCATGTTTCCTCGAGTCGGAAGCCTAGGTAGGTACTTAGAACCCACTGATCATTCAATCATCCTCTACTGATGTCGTATCCTGAAAGTTCTGGTTGGCTGTGCTTTGAGATTCACAGCTCTTCTTCCCTGAGTCAAGATACGAATTCGAGGACCGTATTCTTGGTATGTAATTGTAATTGTGCTACTTGGCAGGGTGGAGCGCCTTACGCGGCCTTACTCAGGTCATTCATCTTCTTGAAGGGCATATGACTTGGCTCTCTATAAATCATGGCGCATTGGTGAACGATGTCAAAATATCCACATGATGCCTCTAATGGGAAGATATTTCTTCAGTTCTATGCCCGACACCAAGGGAATGCCACCGATCCATTATGCCGAAGGAAACCCCTCCCCTCACAACGCCAGGCCAGGAGACAAATAATGGGTGAGGCCAATCCTGATGTAGATCTTTCTGTGTCCTTCCCCTTAAACCAATGATCAACCAACATTGGGATCATATACAAAGCCCTATACTCTTTCAATAGCAGGCATCAAGTATCAATCGAGTGTATCGTGGAAACAAGTTGTCAGGATTATATCGTATCTAGAATCATCCTGGCCCTGTTGTTCCCGGGCCACTGTCGGCCGCCTCTCATCACCAACGGAGCGCTGACTCGCTACTCAACCACCTTCATCATCCACAGCAAGGAGAGCCCTTCAGCATGCCGAAGCCAAATCTATTGCTATGTTTCGACGCTTTCGGCACGTTATTCAAGCCCAAGGGCTCTGTTGCCCAGCAATACGCTGAAATTGCGCGGCAATGCGGCATGGCCAACATCACAGAGAAAGAGCTGCAGCCGCATCTAGGGACTGCTCTCAAGGCCGAGATGAAGAAAAACCCCAACTATGGGAAAGCCACCGGTCTAGGTGCAACCAAGTGGTGGACGAATGTATGCCTCTCCCAATTTCAGCCTATAATCTGCCCATCATAATTGAACTTGGGTTAATGTACATGGATCCCAGGTAATTGAAAATGCTTTCACGCCAATGATACCAAAAGGCGAGAACCTCCCCCAGGACCTTGCGCCAAAACTCCTCCATCGATTCTCCTCAAAGGAAGGATACGAAGCTCAAGCGCACCTCACTTCCATGTTCAAAACTCTCCGCAGCGACGACACCCGCCGGCTGTTCGAGAAGATCGTCATCGGCGTCATCACCAATTCAGATGACCGCGTGCCCGGCATCCTCTCATCGTTCAATGTCAAGGTCGCTCCCCTGCGTTTCGGCACGGAGGTTGATCCAACCTGGCCTTCCAAGGTGGACGTGGAGCCTCCCAACGACATTGATTTCCACTGCATCTCGTATGACGTTGGCGTTGAGAAGCCCGATCATCACATATTCAGAGCGGCGGAGCTCATGCTTGCACAAATTATCACCGTCCGAGAAGGTCCCAGTGATTTCCAAGCCCAGATTGATGGCTGGACAAAGATTTATGTCGGTGATGAGTATGCCAAGGATGTCGTGGGGGCCCGAAACGCCGAATGGAACCCGGTACTTCTCGATGTAGACCATGAATCAGATGAAAAGATTCCCAGGCTGGAAGACAACGCGGCGGCGGGAATAGATGACCTTTTCGAGAAGCATCCAGTTGTTCGGGTGCATTCTCTGGAGCAGTTAGCCGACTGGCTTGGAGGCGTAGCCAAATAGATATACCAGCATCACAATTGTTTAGCCACGATAGGTCAAGTATGGTTTGAAGGCCTCTATATGAAGATGAATGCTTTTACCAGGAGCTTGATCATATCTTTTCAATTTATTTATTTTTCCAAAAACTGGATCTAAAGTCTAGGTATTCTGCGGTATCTTTGTTTTTGACATTTTTACTGGACAAACTTGCTCTCCTTAACAGTGTAGAGATCAACATATTCATCAACGGAGATGCTCTCGAGCTTCTTGCCGTCCAATCCAAGCTCGACGAGCTCCTTCACTCTGGCCTCAGGCAGATGGGGGGCCAAGTGGCGCTTGTACTTCTCCAGGATGACGGGCTTGGCCTCCTCGCGGCGCAGGCGGTGGCCCAGAGGAGCCTCAACAGCAACCTCATCCAGGATTGTACCGTCGTTGAGCTCAACGGTGAGAGCGTTGGAGATTGTGCGCAGGGCAGGATCATGGTAGTCCTTGGTGTACTGGGGATCCTCGACGCACTTGATCTTCTGGCGCAGAGACTCGACGAGCTCTGATGTGGCAGCCTCGCCACCATCAGTGTAGTCGGTGGCTTCCAGGCGGCCGAAGACCAGCATGGTGGCGCACATGTACTGGATGCAGTGGTCACGGTCGGCAAAGTTGTCCATGGGCTTGAACTGCTTGTCGATGATGCGGATGCAAGCCTCGTGTGTTCGGCAGGTGATGGCCTTGATATCGGCGGCAGATTTACCCTGACTCTTGAGCAAGTGGTGGATCTTCTCGGAGGCTTCAACGGCGGTTTGGGAGTGGAACTCGGCTAGGAAATGGTCAGTATGGAGAGAATATATGCAGTGCAGTGTAGGGGCTTGCTTACCAGGGTAGGACACCTTGAAGAGAACGTTCTCCATGACGTAGCTGCCGTAGGGGCGCTGGAACTCAAACTTCTTTCCCTTGAACAGGACATCGTAGAAACCCCAGGTAGGGGCAGACAGGACGGTAGGGACACCTTGCTCGCCCTTCAGGACCTTGAGGGCCAGGTTGACAGCACGCTGGCAAGCATCACCTGCAGCCCATGACTTTCGCGACATAGTGTTAGGAGAGTGGCGGTATGTTCGCAAGCTCTGGCCGTCAACCCAGGCCTGGGTGACAGCATCGGCAATCTGCTTCTCGCCGAGGCCAAGCATCTTGGAGACAACAGCAGTACTGGCAACCTTGACGAGAACGACGTGATCGAGACCAACGCGGTTGTAGGAGTTGAGGAGGGCCAGGCAACCCTGAATCTCGTGGGCCTTGATCATGGCCTCAAGCACATCCTTGATGTTGAAGATCTTGCCACCAGCGAGATTACCACCGGCCTTGTTGGTTCGGTTGACCCAGTCGGCGACGGCCAAGATAGCACCCAGGTTGTCTGAGGGGTGGCCCCACTCGGCGGCAAGCCAGCAGTCATTGAAGTCAAGCCATCGGATCATGGCGCCAATGTTAAAAGCTGCGTTGACTGGGTCGAGCTGGAAGGGAGTTCCTGGGACCTTGGGTCCATTGGGAACGATGGTGCCGGGGACAATGGGCCCAAGAAGCTTAGAGCACTCCTTGAAGCGCAGTCCCTCGAGACCACAGCCCAGGGTATCCAAAAGAATCCATCGAGCGGTGTCGAACTAAACAATCATAATTAGAAGGCAGTTCCAATGAATTGACACAATGAGACGCAAGAATCATTGGAGACAGAAATTTAGAAAAACATCATAGCGCAATCATAGCTGTCCCGAGGTTGGGTGAGCCAGCGCGGGGTAGCCCCGGCTCACCAAAAAAAAAATTATGGAGGAGGGCCTAAACATACAGCAAGCTCAGAGTCGATGGTCTTGTTGGCGACGTAGTCGGCAATGTCCTTGATCTCAGGATCGTACTCGCGGGGAGCGGAAGCCATGGCGGGTGCTGCAGAGGCTCTGAGGGCTGAGGTGGAAAAGTTAGTTCGTGATGATGGAGTCGTGGAGATGCTGATGGAGGCGGCGGCGCGAGCGACTACGGAGGGGGTGCAGGCTGGTCGCAGCAAGCTCCTGGGCTGGACACGCAGCTGCTTGGAAGCTGTGCGCAAGCTGCGATTGACGGCAGACATGGCTCAATGGGCCGCAGGACGAGGACGGGCAATTGAGGGAGGATATGGCAATTGCAGAGAAGACAGCTCCAACGTACAAAGAAGAAGTGAAGGGCGACCGAGGGATGCTTGTGATAATAAATCGATGGGCATTTGACTTTATCTGGGGTTGAAGGTCTGGGGGCACACCAATTGCCAGGGATATGCTTTGCCGCCGCATGCCGCTCCCCAAACCCACTATCCTCGGTTAAGCCGAGCTCCAACCTCAGACACCCAGCAATAGCCACCACAAGCTCGGTCGCAGCTCAACCTTTCGACCGTCTCCGTCTCTACCGCCTCAACCGTTTCTACCGAGGAGAGAGGTTGTGGGAGGAGAATTGGCATATATGAAGCCACGCATCGGCCGATACGCTCGCTCTCCGAACGGCATATCGGTGGATGAGAGCTTGGCGTTTTTCCATCTCAGACCTCACCAGCCTAGTATTTTGCGACCTACCCTATGATCATGGACATCTCTCTCTGCAACATACTTCCGACTGCATATCCTGCCTGCCCAGTAGGATTTGACTTGTAGCTCCAGCCTTGCCAAGTGCGTTATCAGCTAATCCGTTCGTGGTTCTGGTAGTAAGCTGTACGTTGGCACATATTTCCATATCCGCACACAGCATCCACCTACTGGATGCGTAACGATTGCAGACCGCCATGTGTGCTGTGACTATTCTCAAGCCACCAATGCAGTCACGCAGGTCAGGTAATACAAACACACCAACATTGAGGGATTCCCCTGGCTCGAGCGTGTTTCCCTCGGCAGCTTCCCCCTCAACCCCTCCCAAGTTGTATCACAGTGATACTGTGTCAAGGTGTTCCTGGATCCTGCTCCCTATCTACAGACCACCAGGTATCCACTAATAGCTGCAACTTACGTTGCGGCTCAAACCAAGATAAATTATACTCATTGACCCAATGCAGCATTACATATTCTCCGACCCATTGCACATCAGGTCGACTATGGGCTATCAAGACGGGACACAGCTAAGCAAAAAAGGTCCAGCTCTGGGATGAGACTAGAAGCACAGTGCGGGGGAAGATGGAGGGTAAGATTTCGAGGGGACCCTGTTTGTGACCTGTAGCTCAGAGACAACTCCGCTAGCGGACAGTGGCTGAGACATGAAATCAGCACAGCCTTTCCATTCAGTGCCGATGCATGTAAGGAGTCAATAGTAGACCGCCACCACCAGGCATATGCAAGTGCTAGGCGACGCATACTTGTACGTACATGTTTTGGATTGCATTTTCAGGTGTGCACATTTCAGCTCATGCTGCTATTCTCTGACCGAATTCTTCTTTCGTTTTCTAGTCCAGTCCAGATCGCTCATCAAAAGTCGTTGATGACGCAGGGTGAACAGGATAATATCGCCACATACTCAAGGGTCGCACAGTGCCTGGGTGCCAAACCTTCCGATCAAGGAGGATTGTTTAGCCTCCCGCTTTTCTTCTGTGCGGCCAGACAAAGATGAGGCGCCTCGCCTGGCAACACACGCCGGGTGGTCGCTACGTAATAGGATAAGGTCGCAGCTGAGAAAACAAGACCAGGCAGGGAGGGGTACGCAACATCACGGCGAATATGCAAGCCTTGTAGCCCACCGCGGAATCGCCTGCAGTGCCTCTGGAAGTCTCCATATGACAATGGACGCCAAGCAGCGTCGTATCCTGGGAACGCAAAGCCAAGTAGATAGCGCCGATGCATCAATTTAGCACATCTCCTCTCCGATCGACTGCTTGCGGCTTATGTATGGACGAGCCACCCGCACGTCGGAGCCGGAGACGGAGCAAAACTCTCAGGTACCACTTTCAGGCCAACAGGTGCACTAGAGTAGTGCATCCATTGCAGCGGAATGTCCCTGGACTGGACATGACAGGCCCAGCACTCGGCCGGCCGCCATCCGCCCTGTCCCCGTGCAGAAGCGAGGTACCTAATCACCATATTTCCATCCTGATACAGCATCATCCAGGATATTAGTCGACGGGAACGAGTGGGTTAGTGTGAGATTGCTCTGGCAGCCATCATGCAGGGCCCTATGCAGCTGCCCCACTCCGATTGCTTTAAGCCTATCTGGATGGCCCGATCTCCATGACTTTTGCAAGGGTCCTCACCATCGACCATATATGAACCACTCACCCTCAACACCATCCAGACATGGAACGCACCTCCCCCGAGCATTCTCTGCCTGCCTGCCTCCCAACCCAGCTAGTTTTCTCCCCGTTCCAAGTGGATCACGCCTTTCGGGTTCAAGATACTTCGCTTACCGGGATCGTCTCGCGAATTGACCGTTGCAACGTCGTAGCCATGGATCCGTCTACCCCCCAGGGGAAAAGAGCTCAAAAGATCGAGCCGCGACAATTTCACCATGGCTTACTCTACTCAAACCACCCTTCGAACCATTCTCCAACTGGGCCTCACCGTGCAGGTGCCAGGTCTTCTCTACATGCCGCGAGTGAAGTCACATGATGTAAGGACGTAGGCAAGTGGTTTGCCTCCGTGTTGGTGCTCGTCGATTCCCAGCCAGTCTTTTAAGGCTCGAGATCGAAGCAACCCCGACATCATAATTAGGTACGCCGTCATTTCTGGCTGCCCGATCTCGCCCTCCAAACCCCAAACTTGATTGAACGCACACTCACTCGAGGCACCCTGGCCGTTGGACGATCAGTCTGTTCGCCTCACCTTCTACCCTTAAGGCACCCTGGCTGCCGGCGCATTTGCCCCCAGTCGCTAGGCGAAACAGTTTTCTCTTTACTAAAAGCATTATTTGCCAAAAAGAAAAGACTGCTGCCAGCCGGAAATTTCTCTTGAGGAGTGGAATTCTACTTCTATTCCTCTGTGCCGCTCTTGTTTGTGCCTCCGGATGACGCAGAGATAGTCCAAAGTTTATCCTTCTAG